CACACACACACACACACACACACACACACACACACACACACACACACCACCACCACCACCACCACCACCACCACGACCACCACCACCACCACCACCACCACCACCACATCTTCTTAATGCATTCCTCTCTCAATGGACACTGAAGTTGCTTCCATGTCTTGGCTATTGTAAATAGTGCTGCTATGAACATTGGGGTGCATGTATCCTTCTGCCCGTTTTCTTGATTGGCAGTTTGTTTTTCTGACATTGAGTTATTGAGCTGTTTATATATTTTGGCTATTAACCCCTTGTTAGTCACATCCTTTGCAATACTTTTTCCCCTTCCGTAGGTTGTCTTTTCATTTTGTTGATCGTTTCCTTTGCTATGCATAAGCTTTTAAGTTTGATTTGGTCCCATTTGTTTATTTTTTCTTTTAAATCTTTTGCCTGAGGAGACTGATCTAAGAAAATATTGCTGCCATATGTGTCAGAATATTTTGCCTATGTTCTCTTCTAGGAGTTTTATGGTGTCTTATATTTAGGTTTTTGAACCATTTTGAGTTTATTGTTATATATGGTGTAAGGGAGTGTTCTAATTTCATTGATTTACATGAGGCTGTCCAGCTTTCCCAACGCCACTTGCTGAAGAGACTGTCTTTTCTCCATTGTATATTCTCACCTCCTTTGTTGAAGATTAATTGACCATAGGTGTGTGGGTTTATTTCTGGGTTCTTTATTGGATTCCATTGATCTATATGTCTGTTTTTGTGTCAGTACCATGCTGTTTTGATTACTGTAGCTTTGTAGTGTTGTCTGACATCTGGGAAGGTTATGCCTCCAGCTGTGTTCTTTTTCCTCAGCATTTCTTTGGCAATTCTGGGTCTTTTGTGCGTCCATATAAAGTTTAGGATTATTTGTTCTAGTTCTGTGAAAAATGTCATGGGTATTTTGATAGGGATTGCATTAAATCTGTGGATTGCTTTGGGTATTATGGCCATTTAACAATATTAATTCTTCCAATCCAAGAGCATGGGTTATCTTTCCATTTCTTTGAATCATCTTCAGTTTTTTTTAATCAATGTTTTATAGTTTTCAGGTTATAGATCTTTTACCTCCTCAGTTAAGTTTATTCCTAGGTTGTGGTTTTTTTTTTTTTTTTTGACCCAGTGGTAAACAGGATTGGTTTTTCTACTTTCTCTTTCTGACATTTCATTGTTAGTGTAGAGAAATTCAACAGATTTCTGTATATTAATATTATATCCTGCTAGCTTGCTGAACTCATTTACTAGTTCTAATAGTTTTTGTGTGGAGTTTAGGATTCTCTATAGAGTATCTTGTCATCTGCAAATAGTGACAGGTTTACCTCTTCCCTTCCAACTTGGATACCTTTTATTCCTTGTCTGAGTGCTGTGGCTAGGACTTCCAACACTATGTTGAATAGAAGTGTTGAGAATGGGCATCCTTGTCTTGTTTTTGAATTTAGTGGGAAGGCTTTCAGCTCTTCACCATTAGTATTATGTCACTGTGGGTATGTCATCAATGGCCTTTATCATGTTGAGATATCTTCCCTCGATGCCCACTTCGGTGAGAGTTTTTATCATGAATGGTGTTGTA